CCTGGGTCCTGCAGAAGTACCCGGAAACGCGGGGCAGAGGCGAGCAGCGAGCAGCCGGGCCCCTCCCTCCCGGGGTCCAGATGCGCCTTTGTCTGCTCGCTGCCTCACTGAATGCCGCAGGGTCTTCATCTGGTCACGGTGCAGGTTTAATATCGGGTCCCTTTTTTGAAGTATGAGCCATAAGCATTTACCCTTTAAAGACACCATTTTAAGACGTTGACTGAGAAGACACACCGGGGCGGAGGGTGGTGCGGCCGTCTCCGCGCGGCGGGGCCCGGCGGCCGCCGTCCGGGGCTGTGGCGACTCTCGTCCCCGCCGCGCGTCCCCACCCCCGCGATTCCGAGGTCCTGGCCCGCGACGCGCCTACGGTGCACGCTTCTTAAAAGCTGTGAAAAGATGCGTGTTTCTCTTGGTGCCACGTGCGTGCACGAATGCTCAGTCTTTCTCTGGGATGGAGCTCCATGAGGATCTTGTAAAGTATTTTCATCCAACAACAATTACTGGATAAACTGCAAAGAGTAAGGTGGCTTTGCATTTTGAGTTTTTTTTACTTTGTGTGTTTACTTTCCTCTCTTTACTCTTCAAATTTAATTGTATGCCTTTGGTGGCGAACATCTTTAGAAAATTCACAATCTACTGATTTTTACAGGACGTTGAATAATATAATACATTTAAGAGAAAAATGGATGAAGAACCTGAAAGAACTAAGCGATGGGAAGGAGGCTATGAAAGAACTTGGTGAGCAGGGCATTCTTACTCTCTCTTCTTTAGGCATTGCGGGGTTTTTTTTTAACTTTATTGAAGTATATTTTACACATGTTAAAATTCGCCCAATTCCAGTATATAATTCAGTGATTTTTAGAAAATTTACTGAGTTGTGCAGTCATCACCATAAGTCAGTTTTAGAACATTTTCACCACCCCAGTAACTGGCTCCCTGAGGCCCATTTACAGTTAATTCCGTTCTCCAGCCCTAGGCAGCCACTGGTCTGCTGTCTGTTTCTGCCGCTTCTGGACATTTCATTTAAGTGTAATCGTATAAGTGGTCAGTTGTGTCTGGCTCCTTTCACTTAACATGCAGTTTTCAAGCTTCCTCCATGTTGTAGTGTGTCAGTAATTCATTCCTTTTATTGCTGAATAGCATTCTCTTGTGTAGTACCGTGTTTTTATTCGTCTATTCACCAGTTGATGGACGTTTAGATTGTTCACAGTTTTGGGCTGCTGTGAACGGTGCAGCTGTGAACGTTCACGTGCAGATCTTTGTGTGGACCTGTGTTTTCATTCCTCTTGGGTTAGTAAACTTTTAGCTTACCTTTTCAAGCAAGTAATTGTTGCTTATAGGGAGATTCTTAAAGAAGATGAATCAGGATCACTTAAAGCTACAATAGAAGACATTCTTTTCAAAGCAAAGAGAAAAAGGTATGCAAACGTTGTGTGGGCGTGTTAGAAAAGGTAAGATATGTTGCTTGAAGCCTTCCGTGCTCCTATACCCACTCCTCAGTGCTTCCTGTCAGCTGTGTTTCAGGGAAACTGACCTGTAGCCTTTTGAATAGGGGGAGGGAACCAGCAGCCTAGCACCTCAGCAGGGAAATGGGTCTCCAGGAACTATCCAAAATGTCTCTAATCACATGGGTCCCATAACTTAATAACTTACTTCACTAAAAAACGCAGATTAGTTGAACAGTGGTATTGATTTTTCAGGTAGTATATGGTATTCCATTAAAATGTTTGCATAATTTTAACAGAGTGTTTGAGCACCATGGACAAGTTCGTCTTGGAATGGTATGTTACTATTTTTTCTTTACTGGTACAGAACTAGTTTGGGTTAAAGAAACATTGTGGCTTGACAGAATAAACAATAGGAAAACAACCAATGTTTTAAAAGAATATATTAAAAATAGATGTGTAGAATATGTGAATACTAAATGCCATTACTAGTTCTTGGTAAAAATTATTTGCAAGTTGTCCTTATTGGAGTTTTTGTTTGTAGATGCGCCATCTTTACGTGGTAGTAGATGGATCGAGAACAATGGAAGACCAGGATTTAAAGCCAAATAGACTGACATGTACTTTAAAGGTGTAGTAAAATCATTCTAATTTACTCTAAATGTGGGGAAGGACACTGAACTTCTAGTGAATGCGTTCTTTTTTTTCCTGAGTGAATACAAACTATAGCTAAGGAGAAGTGCTCCCAGATCCTTGAGGGAAATGGTAACCAAACAGCTAATTATTTGTGCCCTTCCACCCCGAGTCAGGGTCTCACTTTATTGGTTGTCCCTTCCCTTTATTGAATCTTCATTCTCCTTTGATTTCCTTGAATCGGTCGCCTCAGCTTATAAACACGTGCAGATTATTCCTAATTTATCGAAGCCCGTTCCCAGTTCTGCCCATTCTCCTGTTTCTGTCTTCAGTGGCTCTTCTTGTTTAGATAGTTTCTGTCTTACATGTCCAGTTGGTTCCATCTTTTAAGGCATAGCTCAAACCTGTCTCACCACTTACCTTTCAAATTGAGGTTTATTTAATAGTTTAATTTTTATTTATTTAATATTTTAAAATTTATTTTTATTTAGCATTTTTACTACTGAACATTTTTTAAAAATCTGTAAGCTTAAAAATGAGAAGCAGTGCTTGATAAACAGGTTTCACAAGACATGTTTTCTGTGGTTGTTATTTTGCCCTTAGCTAGTATTTCCATTTTGTTTTCTTCAAACAGCTGTTGGAATACTTCGTAGAGGAATATTTTGATCAAAATCCTATTAGTCAGGTATGTAAATAAGTGATAGAATTCAGAATTGGATTCCTAATATTACTGCCAAATATATCTTATTTTTAAAATATTGGGCATATATTTTATGAATTATTAAGTGATCCAGATCATGTACCAGTTTCTGGTACAATTATCAATGAAAAGAAGATAACTCTAAAAGTGAAATAATGTACAGGGAACTACTAGCTAAATTTATGTGAAAAGCATCATGAAAAAAGTTCCTTACATGATATTTATTCCTTTGTAATTGCTAGTTTATTTTATATACATTCTTATCAAGAAGAAATAATTCGTTAAATTAATAATGATTTTTGTTTTTATTTTGAGATTGGAATAATTGTAACAAAGAGTAAAAGAGCTGAAAAACTGACGGAACTCGCAGGTATGCATAAAACTACCCTTACAGGACTCAGGGCCTTCGCTGTATTTACATACCTTGTGACCCTGTCATAAGGTTGTCTATGAAGTGGAATGAAGCCTCCCTGCTTGCCTCTGGGTGAAACCCTTAATAAACCCTCCATCAGACTCTCAGTGTCTGAGATGGACTGTTTTGCGTGAGTTCTGCACAGTGGTAAATAGTGTTGCAATGGATGTAAATGTGTTTTTTAAGATCTACACATTCTTATCCCCAAAGTATTAAGATAAAATTATTGTATCCATTCAGAAAATCCATTTACTCTTAAAATTATTTTTTTTTAAAGTTAAACCTCTAAAGAGCAAAGAGTATAAAAACTGAATTTTAGTTATTGTTAATGATTCAGTTTTTCTGCTTCTGTGACATGCCTAACTGAATTTTATTCCTTTAAAAGATAATAATGTCAGAGTTTCTTTGCTTTGGTATATGTGCTGATACAAATTTACATGGCTAATTCTGTTTTATTTTCTGTGAAACACACTATCCCTTAAATGTGGCTCTCAACCTTTTCTCCTTACCAAACACATAAGGGAAGTGACATCTTTAATAGTTCATCTGTAATAGTTTTTCACTATGGCGGTGGAGAGTGAAAGGTATGTTAGTCTGGAGTGATCTAAGAAACTGAGTTACAAGTAACCAAAAACATCTCCAACTACCTTAAGGGCAAAAGGGAAATTATTGGCTCAAGTTCAGAGGTGGGCTGATTTCACATACGGATGTTTCCAGGGGTCCTGGCTCTGTCTGGCTTCATTCTCTGATAGGTTTTCTGGGAGGTGAAAAGATGCCTAGTGATAGTCCCAAGCCTACATGACCCTCGTAGCCTGTAGCTTCAGCACAAGTCCCAACGGGGACTCTTATGGACTCTGCTTGTGGTCTGCCCATCCATGAGCAGTCAGAGTGGCCAGGGAAAGGAAGTATTTGTTGTAGCCTGGACTGCATGTCTGTGCCTGGAGCCAGATGGAGGCGGGGTAAGCGCCGCCTGAACGACACGTGGTCTAGGCTGGACTGTATACTGTGAGGGGAGGATGGTTGCCCAAGGAAAAGATGGAGGGCCAACCCTCCTGCTGCCACCCCACCCCCAACCCCACCCCTAGTTAATAGTAGTTTTCTGTGGATGCCAGGGAAGTCATCTGTATAAAGATGAAAAATCCTCTGGAGATGCCGGTAGGCCTCTTGAAGGCACCCTCTCTGCCCCTGATCAGAGTCACTGCTGTAAACCACACTGACAGTAATGTGGTATGCTTTTTTCCTATGCTCACAACACCATGGGAGATGACTCACACGTCATGTGTAGTAGCAAGACAGGTGGATAGAGAGCCAGGAGATGAGGTGTGCTGCACCTGCCGTTGGGTGGGCGTGTGTCTTTGGGCAAATCATTTCACTTGTTACATTTGTTTCTCACTTAAGAAATGAGGGATTTGACTTAGTGATATACTTTTCATTTTTAAAATTTTATGATTCTAAGCATAAATGCAATATGTATTAAATATGGCAAATGGTTAATATTTTAAAACTTATTCAGATAAATAACACCAAAAAGTTATACGTACATGAATGGACAAATAAGACAGATAATTCATACCAGAATAAAAAGAGAAACTAAATAACTATTAAAAAAGAAAGTTTAGCCAAACAAGTGATAAAAAAAAAACTCAACATTTTATTATTTTATATATTTTAAATGAGCAAAATAAAGTTTCAACAGCAATATATTCCTTGCTGAACCATGGAGAAACTGGTACATATAGTGCTGATAATCTGGTTAATTAGTTTAACATTTTTGTGAAAAGAGCCATAAAAATGGTTGTTCCTTGGAATTATACTTAGGAAATATTATGAAAAAATAAAAAGCCTCACTCTACAAATATGCTGTCTGCAGTGCTATGTGTAATAGTGACAAATTGGAAATAAATATTCAACAGTATGGAGGTAGTTTGATGAACTATACTATATGATAAAATTAATGATGTTTTGGTTATCATTAATTAATATGAAGACAGTGTTGAATAGGAGAAACTGTGTGAAGAATACCATATTTCACTGAATCTCAGATTCCATCGTTTGTAAGATACCTTTATTTTATGAGCCATCAAGAAGGAAACACTAGCAGTTAAACTTGGACACCATGTCAGACGACGTGGGAATTGTTCACACCAGCTTCTTGGTAATTTGACATGTCTGTCGACTGTTGTAAAGAATTCGGTGGTTTCTCCTCCCTTCATTTGTATTGCTTGGCATGAGACAGACAATCTTTTCAGATGTTACTCGGTAACAGAAGATAACACAGCTTTGTCTATTTGTGGAAATTCTCCTGTCTTAGGTCTTCTAAAGCTCCTGTTTTTCTCCCCCAAAGAAAGATACAGAGTTGCAGGCATTCTTCAACCAATGACTTTTTGCTTCACTAATAACAAATTTACAGCTACTGCTCTGTTCCATGCCTTTCTACACAAAAATAGAACCTTTTTTATTAATAACCTTTCTAAAAACACTTTAAATCGCAGTTGAACTCAACACGAATAGCACAAAGTGTACATAATGCACTTGAAGCAACAGCACGTCAACAGCCATTCATAGGTCCGCACGGGAGCAGGCAGTGACAGCTGTGTCACATCTGTTGCCTGGCTGCCAGCGATTGTCAGACATGACCTGATTTTACAGGTGTTAAAATGTGAAAATATGTTAGTTTTAAAAATGGTGAAATAAGAAAATATTAAAAGAGGTTATGGACTCTAAGTTAATGTTATTTAAAATGTGTGCTAATAGATAAAAAAAGATTTGTGTTCTATTTTTTAGTATGAAGTGAGACTTTATATAACCAACATTTCTGATAAAAGTGCAACTTGCTAAAAATGTGAATTGAAGGGATTCTGTTCTTTAGCATCATAGATATGTAAATTTTGGGAGAAACATAAATTTCTATTGTGTATATATAGAATTTTATTTGAAGTAGATTATTCCATTTCTATTTTAGGAAACCCGAGGAAACACATAACATCTTTGAAGAAAGCTGTGGATATGACGTGCCATGGAGAACCGTCTCTGTATAACTCCTTGAGCATGGCTCTGCAGACTCTAAAGTGAGGATTGTACATTTATTATTTACAATTCATTTCAAAGTTTTTTGAATGAGTTAAGTTGAAACGATAATATGTTAATGTGTGTCTCCATAAACCCAACTATGATGAAAACATTGTTAAGAGAACTGTGTAGTGTCATTTATGATGTTTAGTATGGTGTTGGCTACTGATTTTTATTTTACATTGTAGTTGGTGGGGTATATCCTTAAAGGTTTTAGTAAAATATGATTAAAACTGTAGCAGTATTCGTAATACAAAAAAAATTGTATATGGAATTTAATGTGGTATAATAATTGTGAGTTTGTTGTACGTTTATTGACTTTTATTAACTTATTTTGTGATACATCTGAAAATGAATAGCACACTTTTCCAGCATGTTTAACTTTATGTGGAATATAGCTAAGACCCCAGAGGAAGTAGTCCATGTAGTTAAATCTCATCTGTCTTATCCCCAGATAGTCTGTCCTGACTCAGATTTTTATACTTGATATAATAGGTATTTTTCTAGTTTTGAAGGAGATGAGAAGGAGGTAACACTCGTAATAAAGGAGGCACAGTAGCAGCGTCCAGGGCAAAAGCCGAGAGCCTGACAGTGAAGCTATGGCAGGAAAGCTGTAAATAACTGATAGAATGCTCCAAAAAGCATAAACATCTCCATTTAGAATGGGGAAAACAGCTGATCACATCATAAAGTCCCATAAGCCATTTAATTAAATGGTACACAAAAATTAATGTTTATGATTATTATGACTCTGAATCACCATGAGGTTAAATTAGAGTCTTTAAAAAAGAAGTATGTTACTATTGCTGGGCTGCAGGAATACACCTTAAAGTTGATCCAGATGGTGGTTGTCATACTTCCCAGCATTCACCTTAGCCTTTGTGTGAAACAAATCTACTGGAATGTAAGCTTCACAAGTTAGGGACCTTGTCAGTGTTGTTTATCACTCTAGTCCCAGAACTTAAAAGAGTATTCAATAAATATTTATTGAATGAATAAATGAATCAATGAATTTTTGTTAAGTATGTAGCTAATTTTAGAAAAATTTAAGGTATTAATATACTCATAATTCATTCCTTTGCACTGTTGAAACAAATGAGATATTCTGTAGTCTAAATGTGTGAGCCATGTGTACTGTTCCTTCTGAGTAAATTTTCGTTAGTGTAATTTGTTTTACCTGATTGGAGTGCGTTTTATCTTTCTTTAGACACATGCCCGGCCACACGAGTAGAGAAGTCCTGATCATCTTTAGCAGCCTCACGACTTGTGACCCATCTAATATCTATGACCTCATCAAGGTAGAGCCAACAATTTCTTTATAATCAAAACCAAAGTTACAAACTAAAGAGAATTCTGTAGTGAACTTACTACTAGTTTTCAGAGCATTCTACCTATTTTTCAAACACATTAATTCTTCATTGTTTTTTTTCTTCCCTCAAAACCCTTCGTTTACTTGGATTTTACGAAGACCCTAAAGGCAGCTAAAATTAGAGTGTCTGTTATTGGATTGTCTGCAGAGGTTCGGGTTTGCACTGTACTTGCTCGAGAAACTGGTGGTATGTATTTAGAATCTTCAATATTTATTCATAATTACCATGTAAGAAGTAACAATTTGTTAATTAAATTAGGATGTTTTAATCTGTTTTTAAGTTACTAAACTTAAATCAGTTTATGTCCTGAAGTCCAAAATATGGGTAGTCATCTTAAATATATCATTGATGCTATAAGATAGCATCTTGAAATGCAAGGAATTTTCAGTAGTTATGTCAGTGTTTAGAGGAAGCATTATAACTCTTGAAAAGCTAGAAGTTTCACTACATGTAATATTTTGTAAAGATCTTATAACTTGGCTTTAATTAAATTATAATTATAGTTATTCCTGGAGAAGTCAATATAGAGATATTATTTAAATAAAGTTTTTGAAAAATGATAATTTAACTCGAATATTTATTTTGAAAATATACATTTTCAGATGGTAGAACTTTTATAGAATTACATAGAAATTATAATTTGTTCTTATGTCCGGAAAGCTGATTTTTTTTCTTTTACTTTTTGTCTTGTTAGGCACATACCACGTTATTTTAGATGAAAGCCATTACAAAGAATTGCTAACGCATCATGTTAGTCCCCCTCCGGCTAGCTCAAATTCTGAATGCTCTCTTATTCGTATGGGTAAGTGTTTATTTTGTGTTATTTTAAAATAGACATTTTAAAAAATATATTTTAGCTCAAACTAGACTTTGTATTTTCATTTGCACAAGTTATCATTTTAATGTTTAAGAATTTCTTTTTTTAACTTAAATGTTTTATAATTAGAGAAAATTATGCTATTGAAGTGATTTTGGAAAATAAGAGAAGTAAAAAGAAAATGAAAACCACTGTCGTCCTTTCCCTCAGAGAACACTACTGGTTTTCTTTCATTGTTAAGGCTAGAAAGGTATAAAGAACTGCGTTTATAGAAAAATCCGGTTGTATTAAGAAATTTAAAAAATAAGCTACAAAATCCTCTGTGCTGTTTGGTCACAGCTGCATAATACAAACTGCATAAACGGACGGTTGCAGGGAGAGGCATGGAATTGATCGAAGTGATTTTTTTGGGGACACAAAGAAGGATGGGTTTTACATCATTTAAGAAATTTTTTGTTTTCCTCTATTTTCCGAAAATTTTATATGTTTATAATTGAAAAAGGCATAACTTTTTAAGTATAAAAAGAATCTCCTTGTTTAATATGCATTTTTTAACTGTCAGTGAGATGGAATGCTTTTCTGTCTTGTTTTTGGCCATTTATAGTGCTGGTCAACCTCTTTCCTCGTCTGTAACATGTTATTGTTGTCTGTCTCTTTATGTGTTGCAAGAGTTGAGTTAATACAGATGAAGCATTTAGAATAATGCTTGACGTAAACACACTGCGTTTTAGATATTATGTTGGCTAGTCTTTGATTTACTGATACATTTTCTTAGCCCATTTTAAAGTTATTATTTAAACTTATAATAATTTATTCTTCATGTTGGTTTGTTAGCGCCATTTAGGAATATCCACCCCTTTTCAGTCACCTGATGCAAATGTTTTTTCAGTTGGTCATTTACCTTTACCTTTGTTTGTTTTGATGTACAGATAGATTTTAAATTTTTATGTAATGAAATCTCTCTTTTTTTTATGGTTTCTGCTTTTCTTGGACTTATTTTCAGAATTTAAAAATACATATGGAAAGCAAACTATGTGGGTTTGGCTGTTCCAAAATTTTAAACACAGAAGTATATTCTTACATAAAGTGAAAGTGGGCTATGTAATAGATTCCTCCGTTGTGTTAGAAACTATTTAAAAATTACATTTTCTTTTTAAAAAGCAATATGTCTTAACTGTTATTAAATTAGAAATACACATGTGAACTTTAGAATCTGAGGTGGATGGACGGACAGACAGATCTTTCCCCCATTCCTTTCACTTTTGATTTGTCTTGTAACCTGGAATTTCAGTCTGTTTGACCGACTGTGATAAACATATCCAATAGGCGGGAAAGAGAACTTTTGTACAACTTTGTGGGCTTTGTGGTAGGAACATTTTTAGGTTCCCAGTCCTAGAATTTTGCTGTTTGCCTGGAAAAAGAAAGTAACATCTTTTCTTCTGTGAAGGATTTCCACAGCATACAATTGCTTCTCTGTCTGATCAAGATGCAAAACCTTCTTTCAGCATGGCGTAAGTAAAAACCTTGAAGCTGTCAGTGATACTTTTTTTGTGTGTGTGTGTGAGGAAGATGAGCCCTGAGCTAACATCTGACGCCAATCCTCCTCTTTTTGCTGAGGAATATTGGCCCTGGGCTAACATCTGTGCCCATCTTTCTCCACTTTATATGGGACACCGCCACAATGTGGCTTGACAAGTGGTGCATTGGTGTGCCCCCGGGATCCGGAACCTGCAAACCCTGGGCCGCCACAGCAGAGCGTGCACACTTAACCACTATGCCACCGGGCCGGCCCCCAGTGATAATATTTTTACATTTTTAATTCCTTCCTATCAGTTATAAATTTAAAATATGGGCTTGAAATATAATGGCTTTTGTAAAAGATTACCTTCTCTATAGCTGTAAAGGGTGAGGACTGTGTCTACTCCTGTGGAGTGATCTTCAGGACATGTTACTAAGTAAGACAGCGAGGGAGGGGAAAGTGTACAGTATGCTGCCAACCACCTGAGAAGAGGGTTTATATTAATAATAAAAATAGTAAGGGAAATAAAAAGTGAAAACTAAAAGATGTTTACCTAGGCAGTGTGTGGAGAAAGGCAAAGGGATAGACTCTAGATTTTCCTGAATATACCTGTTTTAACTTTGGAGCTTTACATTTTACATAATTATAAAACAAAAAAATTTAAGAAAATAATTCTTAAAAATCACAAATAAGACTGTTATCTCCAGCTGTAAAGATGTTATAGGGCCTGGATTTATCCTCCTGCCTCCTGCCAGAGAGCCAGACAAGATACACAGAACCATGGTTTCCAGACATTGGGCAGCAGGTTCAGATAGCGATCCCTCAAAGAAGGGAACGAGCAAGGGGGGCCCTGTGACTGCAGCTCACTGTCTGGAGAGACTCAGGCTGCTGTGCAGGGACGGGGACCCCACACAGAGCCAGGATGTCTTCTCTATTGAAGAACAGAGTTCAGAGTTTGAACTCTATTCGTATTCAGGAGAACATGAGCATAAGAGATATGGAAGGTAGAAAAAAGACCAAATCTAATTTGTAGGGATGAAGAATACAGTGTCTGAGATGACAATACACCGGATGGGATTAACAGCAGATTAGTCACTGAAGAAGAAAAGAGTAGTGAATTCAGAGACATTAATGGAACCTACTGAAAACAAAAATGCAGAGAAAAAAAAGAAAAAATGAACAAAGTGTAAGTGAACTATGAAACAACTTGAAGACCTTGGTGTCAGGTAGCATACTTTCCTCTGCTCTGACTATTCACATCTTTATATATCGCTTCTAAAGCAGTGTTTCCCCCACAGGCACCTGGATAGCAGCACCGAGCCAGGGCTCACATTAGGAGGCTATTTCTGCCCCCAGTGTCGGGCGAAGTACTGTGAGCTTCCCGTGGAGTGTAAAATCTGTGGTGAGAGACCAGCTGTTCCTTACCCGTTAGATTAGTCTTGAATAACTTGTTTCTTATATTGCTGTTGAAATAAATGTAAATATTAAGTTCTGCCTGTGTTTCTGGATTTCATCTTTGAGAAGAGAAGTAGGTTACTTCTTTTACCGAATGGCCAGTACTCAATTTCTAAGAATAAACATAGCATTCTAGAAGAGGTTCCTGATTCTCTTCCTGAAAAAAGTGTGTTCTTTAAAGGCTGTGCAGATCTAGTAGACATTTTTGCAGCTCTTACCTGCATAAAATAAATATATATAAGGAGAATGAGGAATTAAAGTAGTAGAATCATATAATTTTATTTCATTTATAAGTAAGCAGATAGGCCAGGAGAGGTCACATGCCTAGTGACAGAACTAAGACTCCATCCTGAAATCTCCTTTTATGGCCACAGGTGATAAACTGAAGAAATGAATACTTGCAGTCCTAAAAATACTTGAAAATATTTACCCTGAATTATATCATTTGACATTTCTGCCATCGTCTTTATGAGGTTTGGGCTATTAAACATGTCTCTCTGCTTTCTATGTTAGGTCTCACTTTGGTGTCTGCTCCCCATTTGGCACGATCTTACCATCATTTATTTCCTTTGGATGCTTTTCAAGAAGTTCCCCTAGAAGAACATAATGGAGAAAGGTATATGAGTTTTGATTAATTTATATCTAAGTGGTAGAGTAATGTGTGAATAGCTGGTCTAGTGGTTAAGATCCAGCGCTGTCACCGCCGAGGCCTAGGTTTGTTTCCTGGTCAGGGAACCTCACCACCCATCTGTCGGTTGTCACACTGTGGCGGCTGCGTGCTGCTGTGATGCTGAAAGCTATGCCACCAGGATTTCAAATACCAGCAGGGTCACCCGTGGGGGACAGGTGTCAGCGGAGCTTCCAGACTAGACAGACCAGGAAGAAAGTCCTGGCCACTCAGTTCCGAAGAAATTGGCCATAAAAACCCTGTGAATAGCAGCGGAGCATTGTCTGATAGAGCGCCAGAAGGTGAGAGGATGGCGCAGAGAGACTGGGCAGGGGTCTGCTCTGCTGCACACGGGGCCCCCAGGAGTCAGAATCCACTTCAGGGCACTAGCAGCAAAATGTTTGAATACGTTCTTAGTACGTTAAAAAAGATAGTCATGTTAACCTGGGCAAGATTGCTTCTAATATAGAAAATAAGACATAGAATGCCTTGGTTGTGGGGCCTGCCTGGTGGCGCAAGCGGTTAAGCGTGCGCGTTCCGCTTTGGCGGCCCGGGGTTCGCAGGTTCAGATCCTGGGCGCACACTGACACACTGCTTGTCAAGCCATGCTGTGGTGGTGTCCCATGTAAAGTGGAGGAAGATGGGCACGGATGTTAGCTCAGGGCCAATCTTGCTCAAGAAAAAAGAGGAGGATTGGCATGGATGTTAGCTCAGGGCTGGTCTTCCTCACAAAAAAAAAAAAAAAAAAGAATGCCTTGGTTGTGACTGAAATGACTCATTATTAAACAGATCTGGGTCTCCAGAAATGTACCAATTTCCCTAAACCCATTTGTGGATAGTAAGGGGGTAGTATGCTGGTAAATCAGCTCTCCAGAGAGAAAAAACAAGCCCTGATTTGTAGCAATTGCTGATTTCCATGGTATAAAACTGGAGCATTTATCCAGAAGGTCTAATATCAGGATAATATGAGAATAAAGAAAAGGTCAAATGAAGAGTAGGAAAGAAATAGTTCAAGGACATTTTCTACTACTGAAGGACAGAACTTTCTCGATTGAAAGGGACGGTCAAGTGCCTAACATATATAAAGTATATCACTGTGAAATTTCAGAATACACAGCAAAATATTAACTCTAGACATTCTGGAGAGGGAAAGTTAGGTCACAGAATTTGGAATGAAAATTGTTTGTCTTCTCATCATCAACACTGGATGCTGACAGGGAGCAATTTCCTTCAAAATTTGGAGTGAAAGTTATTACCAACGCAAATTATATGCCCAGCCAAGCTATCAACTAAATGTAGGTAAAATAGAGAAATTTTCAAACTTAAGGTCTCAAAAAGAGACTTTGGGGAAGCTGTGGTAGAGATGATTCAAAGGAACTGAGAAAGAGAATGAATGACAGTAGGAATATTTATCTAATTCAGAAGTGGCTAAAGAAGTCTGAGGATGATGGTAAGGGGAGATCCCAGTATGACAGTGTGTGTCAGAATGGGGAACAGCAGTCCAGTTTGGAGAAGGTCAGAGTGCTCCAGGAGAGATTTCACCAAGAGGAGGAAACTATAGAATTCCTGATGTGGTAAACTTAACCAGAGGATGTTTAGACTTCTCAGGGAAAGGTTAGGGCTGAGTTAGTGGTAGCTACATAGAAAACTAAGCTTGTGAATAACAATACCGTTGTTAACTCCAGCAAAAAATGTTTTACAGAGGAAAAGTTGCATTACATGGCTGAACTGAATATGTTTATATAATCATGATAAACTAAACATTTAACGTTGTTCTATCCAAAATGATTTAACTGCATAGAAAAAGAATTGAGAATGATATTAGTTATGCATGTACTTGCGATTGGTTCAAGAGTTTGAAAGAATTAAATTCTCATCTTCTGTAGTGGGAGGTTCATAGCCAGTGCCTGTGGAAAAATCAGGAGAGCACCATAAGCATAGGTAACTCGCAAACAGCCAGAAGTGTTGACAGCTCTGGGGAGCTGGAAATGAAGTGGGGTTGGGGGGCGGGGAACTGCTACTTTTTGTAATAAGTTTTGAGAACTTGTAACTCTTTAAGCTATTCCTTGAAAATGAATCCCTTAGGTATCCCTTATATTCAGTAAATTAACTTCTGTCCATCTAGAATTGTACCAGCTGGCCATTATCTTTGGGAGAGTTGAAGAACAGTCCCTCAAATCATTTTCTGTAGGGCTAAGTTCCCTCATGGAATCCCAGTGGAGAAGGCATGCTCATAGTTAACCTGGATGAAAATAAAATAAAAAATTTATTTTTCGGGGCCGCCCCGGTGGCACAAACGGTTAAGTGCGTGCGCTCCGCTGCAGTGGCCCAGGGTTCGCCGGTTCAGATCCCGGGCACGCACCGACGTACTGCTTGGCAAGCCATGCTGTGGCGGCATCCCATATGAAGTGGAGGAAGATGAGCACAGATGTTAGCCCAGGGCCAGTCTTCCTCATCAAAAAGAGGAGGATTGGCAGATGTTAGCTCAGGGCCGATCTCCCTCACAAAAAAAAAAAAAAAAAAAAAAATTTATTTTTCAAGTGCTATTTTGGGCTGACTGTCAGATGACCTTAGGATATACTGTGGAATTTTCTTAAATTAGTAGTGTTCTTACCTCTTTCTCCTAAAAGTCATGTATAAAGATAATTACTTATTAACTGAAGGATTCTTGTTATTGAGATTTTGCTGAGCTGTTTTAATGAGTGAATTCTAAACAAAATGATTCTTAAACTTTCTTTTGCAGATTTTGTTATGGATGTCAGGGGGAATTGAGAGACCAACATGTAAGTTCGTGTGCTTTCTAAACATTAAGTATTGTGTAAGAAATACTGAAGAGATAATATGACAAGTTTTCAGTAGATTGTTGAAGCCCAGGCTCATATCGGTTATTCCTCAGAAGTATAGTAGCCCCTGGTGGAGATGAAACAGAGCACAAGAGTTTCAGCAGTTGTTTTGTAATTCTGCGTTCTAACTTTGCTGTATAGACATTTTAGTACTTGAAACTGTCTTCAGTCTGAGGATGACCTGCGTTTAGTTTGGAAGTATTCAAAGTGTTTTCTCCATACTGTACTTCAGGCTCTGTCAGAACTCATTTTGACTTGCCATTTAAGGTGGCCACAGACCTAAGGTTATTCCCCATTGTGCCAATGAAAAATGTTTTTAAAAATTTTGAAGGTGGTCAATTTGAATATATAAACTTATCTAAAGATGCAAATAAGATAGATCCTTGCCTGGTTTTAATTTTTTATTAATTTAATTACATGTCCATATTTAAAACTATGCTTTATAAACTATATAAAATATTAGTTGGAAGGATTGCTTATTTATTCCACGCTCACATTTCATAAAACAATTTTATTGACTTTTACGTGCCTCTTTGATGTCAGTAGATTCATCCTCACTAGAACAACTTTTGAATCATTTGACAGTTTTAAGAACATACCATCTTCTGTGCTGTTTGAGATTTAGTGAGTTTGAATCTGTGTATGATGCTGCCCTGGAAATTTTACCCCCCAGCACAAGTATCCATATATGTAATATTGATAGAATAGTGGTTTTTTTCTTTTTATTTGTTTTATAGGTGTCTTTTGCCATATTTTTTAATGGTTTAATTAAAAGGGGAATATAGCTTTTGCAGTTGTGAGGTCATTCTCCAGGAATAACTAAATCTGTGTTAAATTTTTGTGCTTCTCTTTTTAATTGAATCAGTCAGATGGCCTCTCGAAGCATTCAAAACTAGCACTCATTTCAAGTCCATGTGTCTTCCCCAAATACTTACTTAAAATGAAGTAATTGAGAGTGTCCTGTAATAGAAGAGACTTTAAGGACTCAAAAACAGTTATTCCCTCAGTTCTAAGGAGTAATATTTTTGGAAAAAAGCCATGGCCTTAGATTAGAGAATCTACAGGACATTGGAAGTAATCGGGTGGGTGGGTGGGTGGGGAACTGATGCAGAGACAAGGAGCAGAGCACTTGAGTGTCTCCTGCCTGTGCTGTGCTTGCGTCTGGAGCCTGCCTTCTGAACGTGCCCTCCTCCTCTCTGCAGGTCTATGTCTGCACCACGTGCCGACACGTCTTCTGCGTGGACTGCGACGTGTTCGTCCACGACTCTTTGCATTGCTGTCCTGGCTGCATACACACGATGCCAGCTCCCACAGGTGTTTGACTCCAGCAGGTGGCACACCTGTACGTGCTAAAGAGAAACTTGCAGTTGTAAATAAAATGTCTTGAGAAGAAGCTCCAATTAAAACACAAAGAACAGTCCAAAAGGAAAATCTGACTTAAGAAACTTTTTGCTAAGAAAATGTAGTATTTTATTTAATTTAAAAGTTTGTGTTTTGTCACAGAAATGGCTGGAATTCAGTAGTATTTCATTCAGTTTTGTTTTCTATTATTTTGAGTTATGTTTTCAAAGTTGTTATATGTTATTGTATTTAAGTTACTTATAATAATTAAATTGATGTGATAATTGTTTTATAGTTAAATACAGAATCTGATTTTTATTCATTTTTAGTGTAAAAAGAAAATTAGGTATAAGTGTAAATTCAGTGTAAGATGAAATGAATCCATAGTTATGAAATTAATACATATGCAATTATATACTGCTCTACCCCAAGGGGTCTTTTTTGGCTTAACAAACAATCAGAATATAGTTATAAAAGTAATACACCTGAAATTAAAAACAGGGCTCTTTTTAGGCTGATACATTCAACATCTCAGGATTGCCGTGGCCACACCTGCCACCGGTTTGCTCAAAGGATGTTACCCAAGAGCAGCGCGCCGCCAGGAGGCAGCATCAGGCTGTCCTCCTTCTGGGCAAGTCCTGTAGCCGCTTACCCAGCACAGCCTCGGTGCCAAGCCGAGTGCTCAGCTGCAGGCAGGCCTCAAGGAGCCAGCATCTCCTTTTTGTTTTGTTTTGTTTTTTTGTGAGGAGGATCGGCCCTGAGCTAACATCTGATGCCAATCCTCCTCTTTTTTTGCTGAGGAAGACTGGCCCTGGGCTAACATCTGTGCCCACCTTCCTCTACTTTATATGGGACGCTACCACAGCATGACCTGACAAGCAGTGCATCGGTGCACTTCCGGGATCCGAACTGGTGAACCTCGGGCCGCCAAAGCGGAGCCTGCGCGCTTAACCACTTGTGCCACTGGGCCGGCCCCAGCGGCATCTCTTATAACAGTTCCATCAGCACAGCTTCCAGGGTCCCCATGAGGGACGTGTTAGTGTTCAGAGTCACTGCACTCAGGAAAGCCTGAAGCCCGAGGTTCCCATCACACTGTCTGTGGGGCCCCCAGTCCAAGTGCAGGTCAGTGATCAGTTTTACCTAAGCAAAGCTGCCTGGACACAAAGTTGGCATTCCTGCCTTTATCAGTTTCCATGACAACAGAGGAACACTTCACTGAAGGTGAGGTTCAGGCAGTGAGGGAAAAGGTCTTGTTAACCTTTCACCCTCATATGCTAAACCTGTTGCTTTAAGGCTTCCTCTGTAATAACTGGTAATGTATTTTACTCCATGAGGTAGGTCTGAGACCGCTGTTTTGTTGTTTGGTGTCTAGGCCTGGTTTACCGCCGAGTTTAGGCTAATGAGGCCGGCGTTGTGGTGTCTGTCCCTGTTAGCCCCACTCAGGTTCACACCAGGGACTATGTAACTAAACCTCTTCAACCTTCCCACTCTGGTGTCAGAGAGACTTGGGTGAGAATGTGTGTCGAGTCTGCGTGTCAGGTTCAGTGCGGACACAGAGCTGTTTTCAGGGACCACCCTGTGGAGAGCGAATCAGGTTTCCATGGCAAAGGTGTGTTCATTTTATATCTACAAACTTCAGTCGCTCTAGATTGAGTTTCACTATGACATTCATAATTTTATAAATAACAGTTCTTAATGAGAAATATCAGTCATGCTACCCTGGAGCGTCTATTCCATAAATCTTGGATAGAGCCCAGAAATAAGCATTTTTAACAGCATGCATGCCAGCACACACACGGACAAAGACATAATATGACCAAAGTAACAGAGCTCTCTGCTGGGAGTCGTGTTCTCTGAGCCCAGAGCCAAATAGTTCTTGGCGTGGAAACAGGCTTCAGCTCTAGGCAACCAGGTAACCGCTGTCTGCCTTCTGCTTTGTCAACAGAGGTGTCAGTGGCTTGTAGGAGACGCCTCCAACATGGTCAGAGTATTCTGCCTCCCCTTACCTGACTTAGAAGAAAGGCCACAAGTGGTCACCTCTTGGAAAGTTACTAGAAATATGTTAGAGACACACCCTCACTCCTGCATATAAAAGGAACATTCAGTGCCCTTTTGGCTGCTTTATCTCTTTCTACAGTTTTATATTTCATTTGCATACTTGATAAAGTTAAGGTGAATATTTTAGTTATGCTTAAGGTGGAATTTCCTTTCTCACAATTGTAAAGAAAATCCTGACTTAAGATTACAGAAATAGAAACGGTGATCTGAGACTGTTAGTTCTGGACTTTAATTTCCCTCTTGAACTCCACAATATGCTACAATAGTGAAGGAAACTACCACGAGAGATCTTTCTGAACAGTATGTCTTTCTGAGTCCTGTTGTTTGATTAATTAGAAAACTCCTTAATACTTAAAATTCATTATAGAAATTAGATTTATTTTAAATGCATACATTTTACATCATATTCTTTTTTATTTGGCCTGACGATCTTGGTCTTTTAATGAAACATTTAGTCCATTTATATGTCATGTGTCTACTGATATATTTGGGTTTAAATTTACCATCTTTGTGCAATTTGTTTCAACTATTCTGTGTTTCCCTTTCTCTTCTTTCTTGCCTTTTTTTAGATTATTTTCCACCATACTATGTTTTTCCTCAACTAGTTTGGAAATTGTATACTCTATTTTTATTCTTTTAGTGGTTACCCTAGAAATTACAATACACACCATTTCTTTCTTTCTTTTTTTGTGTGTGTGTGAGAAGATCAGCCCTGAGCTAATATCTGCTGCCAATCCTCTTTTTGCTGAGGAGGATTGACCCTGGGCCAATATCCCGCCCATCTTCCTCTAATTTATATGGGACGCTGCTGCAGCATGGCCTGACAAGGCAGTGTTGGTGCGTGCCGGGATCCAAACCTGTGAGACCCACACTTAACCACTACGCCACCGGGCCGGCCCCCTACACACCGTTTCTTAACTTGGGTCCCCCCAAAGCAGAACCCGAGGCAAAGACGAAAGTGTTGTTCCTTTATTTGGCGGTGCAGATCCGGGGAAGTGCAGGGAGGGAAGATGAGGGAGAGGGAGGCGAGGAGAGTCCTGATGCCGTATGCTGCCACGGTGGCCAGGCTTGGTGACAAGCTGTGGAGTCGTGCGAGTCTCCCAGCAAGTGTGTTCACTTAAGAGTGTGGGACTTCTCCAGAAGGTTTATATGGAGAAACTGCCCCTCTGAGCAGTCCATCAAAGGGAGGAAGGAGGAGTAATGGAATTCCTAACTAATTCCATCCTGCATTCCCCACTGGCCAGGGTCTGCTACGTGGGGCTGTCACTGGTCCCTGGGGAACTGCTCAGGAAGCCAGATCTCACGCTCAGTGGTGTGGCACTGTGGCCGGCTTCCGAAGCTGGAGGGGAAGCCGGGGCAGACCGGCTTGGTGTACTTCGGCGTGGGCTGCGCCCGCTCAGGCGGCTGGGCAGAGCAGCAGCAGCAGCGCTGAGAAGGCGGCGGCCGGGGAACCTGAGGCGGCCTCGGACCTGTGTGCCGTGCTCACTCGTCAGGTCACCATCTTAGGTTGCTGCGTGCCCACACCCTCCTCAGACAGTACATCGAACGTTGCTCACCTCTTCCTCATGTCGGAGTTATCGTTGTTGTGTATTTCTTTTTTTTTTTTTTTTTTTAAGATTTTATTTATTTTATTTTTCCCCCCAAAGCCCCAGTGGATAGTTGTGTGTCGTAGCTGCACATCCTTCTAGTTGCTGTATGTGGGACTCGGCCTCAGGATGA